TCTTTTATTGGGCACTTTTAGAGTGCCACATTTGATGCTGCTGGACCAATCTGGCCAGCATTCTGGCAGGACCTGTGCTATGACGGGTAAGGACTCAATCCTCTGTGTATGGCCTGAGTTCTGATTCAGCTTCCTCAAAATAGTGATAGGATTCTTGACAAAATGATTTGATTTCTGCATTAGAAGCCTTATTTACAAACACATGTCTTCAGAAGGCAGGACTCACACTCATAGTTGTTTGTAAAGGATGATGTTCTGTAGTAATGTTCCAGAGCGTAGAGGTTGATCTCAGATAGTCAAATTTGCATAATTATGAGTTGAGTTGTAATAGCTTCTACTGTATTTTAAGAGAAATTGTGAGAAAGAGGAGAAAGATGCCTATTTTCAAAACTCATTCTGCTGTTCCCAAATGATTTGAATTCCAATTTCTAGCCCAATTGCATCATGGCCTGAGGGGACTGTTGACTCAGACATAGGATAACCTTGGCCCTGAGAGACTTAAATCTAAGGCACAAAGAACAAAGAGAGACAGCCCGGAAGCTCAAAAGTGTCTGGATTTGGGAATTTGTTGCCTGATTAAAATTAAACCTGTTAGAAGATACATGAATTAAAATACTATTTGTATTTAGCTTATCTCAGGATGCAAATGCAGCATTGGAATTAGCTCCTCAGTGAAATGCCTGAGTGGTTACACTGTGGCAGAGCCTGGAGACTGTTCAGGAGGTTCTGGTTTTTGTCCCAGACAAACCACTCAGCCTTCCTGAATCTAATTTTCCCAGTGGTAAAATGCAGGGGGGAAAAAAAAAAAAAAAAACGCCTTCTGTGGTCTTTCCAGCTCTGAGATCCCATCACTTCTGTACCTTATTCTACCACCGGTTTCTTAACAGCACAGCTTTGTCCGCCATCCTGGTGATCTCGAAATGCCCAGGGAATGTTTCTCCTGGAAGGAATTGAGGCATTGGAGTTTCAATGGCCAACTGGTTTGTAGTTTAAAATGTTTTATCCTCTAGGATTTTGAATCAAAAACTATAACTATTACCATCTCTCAAAATAGCATATTGACTAAGCTCAGGATCTTTGGTGTCAAAAAGCCAGGAATCAAATCCCAGCTCTGTCACTTACTAGCTGTGTGACCTTGAGTAAGTTATTGAAGTTCCGTGTGTCCCAGTTTACGCCTTGTAAAATCAAGGCAACAATAGCTATCTCACTGAACTTCTGTCAGTATTGAAATTACAACCAGGCTTGGAGCAAAAGTTCTCTACAGGCTGGTGGTTTTTAATAACAATTTTTTTTAATAGAAGGAATGGCTTTTATTGGTTACAATGAGAAGTGGAAAAGGAGGGGATACAACAGCTCCTGCTCCCAGGGTGGCATTCACAGACTTGGTCATCACCCTCCAAAAGTTTATTAACAATCTCAGCATAATGCTTAAAAACCTAGACTTTGGGGTGCTGAAGACACCTCTCTGCTCCATCAGTAATTAGCCATTTGATCTTGGGTGACTTGGGTTAAGCCAAGTTACTTAGACTCTCCAAGTCTCAGTTTTCTCATCTATAAAAAGGGGATGATAATCCCTCTCTTGATGGGTGTTATGAAAATTAAGTGATATAATTAGCTAGCAAACTGCCCAGAACTCACCGGGCAAACTCTGTGAACAAGATCTGCTTTTATTAATCAGTATTGTACGCCATTGGAATATAGGTGGATGGATTAGTTTACTGGGACTGCCAAAACAAAATACCCACAGACTGGGTGGCTCAACCTACGGAAATTATTTTCTCCAGTTCTAAAGGCTGGAAGTCCAAGATCAACGTACCAGCAGGATACTGTCTTCTTGTATCCTTGGCCTTTCTTCTGTGAGCCCACATCCCTGACGTGTCTTCCTTTTCTCATAAGGACACATGTCCTACTGAATCGAGGTCCTATCTTTATGATCTCATTCAACCATAACTACTTCCTTAAAGCCCTAGTTCCAAATACAGTCATGTTGAGAACTGAGCCTTCAATGTATGAATTTGGGGGGACACAAAGAACCAGCAATCAGATTGCAGTAGATTAAGTGAAAAGCAAGATGTTGGAAACGGACCCAATGGATATAATCAGCTTTTCTGAAAAGTTTGACAGTACAGGAGAGAAGAGAGGTTGTCATTATTTTTATCATTATTATATCTGACGACTTTGAAAGAGAGAGTGTGGCAACATGGAAAGAACATAAGCTGTGGTATCAAAGACTTGGGTGTAAGTCCTGTCTCCATCTTTTTCCCATGTGACATCTGGCCATGCATTTCTTCACCTCTATGAGATTGTCTGCATGTATGTTAAAAATGGACAATTTTACCTCATCGTGGGGGTTATTGTGACGATTAGAATAATGCCAATAAGACACCTAGCCCATTCTCCTGGCATATAGCAGGAGCTCAGTAAATGTTGGGTACTATATTGAAATCCCCTAAAATGCATGCTCTTGAAAGGTGGCTGAGTCACAACATGAATTCAGAGTGCTGTGTGGAGTCATGCTGTGCTCCCCACAGAGTTTGCCTCCAGGAATCAGAGTTGATTGGGTTTGGTGGTGATGCTTTTTAAATTTATCATTTGCTGGTGATTGCTGATGATTTCAGGTATGTTTTTAGAGCCTGTCAGCCTCCTAGAAATAGAAACGGCCCTTTGGCATGTAGGAGTCATTAAGAAGTAAGGTACCAGACAGCTGGAAAAACAAGAAAGCTGCAGGCAGACACTTCAAGTGTGGTACTTTCTGAATATTGTATGTGATGATCATCCTATCACACACATACTTAATTCACTTATACTGATCCTCCAGCCCTGCGCCTTTTGTTCAGACTTGGCATCTGCGGAGGAAGAAATCTGTGGGTTGTGCGGCTCAGACTGCTGCGCAGTACAAAGGTCGAGAGGTTAATGCGCTGTTTTGTTTCTTTCCGGTAGAAGAGTCACTAGGTCTAGACGAGGTTACGCTATGATTGAAAGACTGCTCAGAAAATCTAATTGCAATTCTCTCTACTTTTGCCTATGCTGTGTTTCTTGGAACATTGAAGAGAGAACACAGTGATTCTAAAGAAGACATTTAAGGTCCACCAATAACCTGCAAACTTCAGTTTGAAAAATATTTCCCTAGAGGGCAGCTGAAGTTCAAGGGGCTCCAGAGGAATGGAAACTTGAGTAACAGCATCATTTATTAGCCAAATCATTCTTGAGTGACTGTGGTGTATCAGACTCCATGTTAGGTCCAGAAGATATACAGATATGTAAGACGTTGATCCTGTCTTCAAGGAATTCACAATGGAGAAAACAAACATGAACAGATCATAAGGTTTTGTTATACCTGCTGTATAACAGGAAGGGTGTGGAAACTCTGACCAGGAAGTCATCCATTCTGCATAGTGGGACAATCCAGAAAGGCTTCAGAGAGGAGGCGCTAATATTTAAATAGGGTCATGAAAGATATATACATTTTAACAGGTAGAAAAGAAAATAACATTTTGGGTTGAAGAAATTATACTATAGATGATTCCAAAGAAGCTTGCATCAGACATTTTTCGAGAAAGCAGAGTCATTCTATCTGGTGTTATCTACTTACATTAGCTCTGTTGCATGGCATTTATTTCTGCATTGGCAAATACAATAATATAATATAGTTCACATCATCTCATCAACAGCAATGTTTAAGGAGCAACATTTTCCTTCATCCTCTCTGTATCTTAGGACCCATTGAGTAGAATCAACCTACTTGTTCAAGTGAAGAAGGAGAAAATTGAAGGAGCCCCATTTTGGCTTTTGTTATTTTCCCTCTAAAGCCCAGCCTGAGGTCAATTTGTTAATGTCTAGTTGGCCTTTTTCCAGCTACTTTTTAGCTCTTCCCACATATGTTAGGTGCACATTTACTTACTTTTTCATCAATTTTATTCTTGTTAGCTCAGAGTTATTCTTGGCATTCCCATCTCTTCATGTCTTTTTCTATTATTCTTATCCATCCATCACTATTCTGAAGCTTTTCCATGTCGCTGTTTCCAAATAAATTATTATAATGTGAAAACTACAAAACAGATGTTTGCTTTTATCTCCTGTTACTCATTTCACAAATACAGCCATTCCAAGTATTTGTTTCATCACTATTACTGGCTTTTTGTAAACTCCTTGATGGTAGTAATTAGGACATATCAAGATGAAGGATGGGTTAAGCAAAATACACAAAGTTAAACTGGATTTTTTGTAGCAGACCCTCTCAAATCTATGTATTAATATTTCAATATTTTGTTCCAAAACTACATTAAAATTTAAGCATTTCTCAAACATATAATTCTTTTTGCATAAAGTGTCCTTGAGAAATTGCTATTTAAATATAATTCACAAAGCATAGCACAATATTTTAAAGCTTACCTATAGCTATGGGCTCTATTGCCTACAAAATGGGGCCTAAACAGAAGATCCTGTAGGCCTCCCATCCATCCAGTACGCACCTATGAGGCCAGGTTTATGCCCATCAAAGTGTCTGCTGGTTCTTTTACCCATGTTCACACCTGATCTGAGCATTTTATTTGTAGCCCCAGGCAAAATACCTTGATTTCAATGGAATCCTTGGACAGTATAGCAGAGTTCTGTCTGGTGGTTGCATGCTACATAGGGTGATACCAATTGTTATTAAACAACAATTCCATTTTTATAACTAGTATTTAGTATATACACACAGATTTGAGATTGGATTGTTGGTGATTTTTTTACATGTTTCAAACTGCACTGTAAAAATGCTAGAATTGCAATGTTCATACTGATGACTAGAATGTGCAAAAAAATATCATGTAGAAGTATCTTAGCTTAAAACTGTTAAATTTGGGAAATGTAAAGACCATCATTGGCAGTGTGAGGATTCTTCCTCTGTGGATAAATCATGTGCATCTAGCAAAGGTTTTTTCCATTTTTCTGTGTTGCTGTGTGTAGCATTTGTGAGCAGTGACCCGCCTTAAGACTCTTTCTGGTTTGCTCCACAGACAGCGTGGAAGATGAGCTGGAGATGGCCACCGTCAGGCATCGGCCTGAGGCCCTGGAGCTTCTGGAAGCCCAGAGCAAATTCACCAAGAAAGAGCTTCAGATTCTCTACAGAGGATTTAAGAATGTAAGAACTTTCTTTTTGACTTTGCCTTCACACTGTTCTCAAAGGAGCATTGAGAAGTGAGAGGGGAAGAGGGAAGATGTACCATTCTGTGAGAGTCCCATCATCTGTGCATTTCATACTGCTCCTCCCTAGAAATGAATACAGTCGATGTCCATTTGGGCTTTGATTCACTTTGGCACACTAATGCTGGTATAACATAGTCACTGGCAAGGATGGGTAATGGAAAAGGTTTACTCAATTCAATTCTTAGTTGGGATTTTTTTCTTATTTAGCTATAATGACATCATTTCAATAAGCTCCAATTGTTTCTTTATTTTTTAACTATAGTCTGGTGCTTGACTTGAGTCTTGAACATAGACGGGGACCCAGGAAGGAACCTATTGCTTGCATTGGAGAAAAATTACTACCAGTTTTGTAGTCTGTAAAGGACCATGCTGCCAATGACTCTAAACCATAAGTGTCCATAGCTCAGCTCTGTGTCTCGTTCTCTGTGATCCAAGTATGCACACGGCCCTCTCTCCTTGGAGAATCATCTTCAAAAGTAATGAGAGTCCATGCATACCAAAGGGTGAGGGTGAGAGAGAGTGAGTGGATTCAGGCAGTCTGTGAGGCACACTCTCGTACTGAATATGGTTTGTATTTAGTAAAATAAGCTAGATGCTGCAGGTTATTCAAAAGCCAGATAAGATAGACTTCCGTCTTCAAGGAGCTCACAGTCTAAATACAGAGAGAAGACTTGCACTCATGAATCTATTTAAAAACAATTCATCCTTAAAGGTGACAAATGTTTGTCTATCAACTGGCATACATGCCCTAGCATATATTTTGTTCTCATAGATATGGAAAGCAAAGTAGCTATAGGTGCCCCTGGAGATCCAAATTAAATTACTTTGATCTCTTCCCAAACACACCCACTAAGAGTCCTAATTCCATGGCATGTAGAAGTCTATAGTGTCTAAAGATTTCTGCTAAATCCGGCCTCTTCAGATCTGACTACCTCAACTGCTGCCTTTGTCCAACCTCATGCAGACCAGAGAAGAAACTCTACCTCTTCTTTGGAATCCACAACAAAAAATTTACTCAGAGAATTTGTAACTCCAGTTGACTCTGCAGAATATATTTATAGGATTTCATCATACATATTGCACGCAAGCTCCTGCCATCTCTGTGACTGAATGGGGTCTGTCTTTCTCCCATTTTTCTCTTCACCCCACTCCTTGCTCTGGGCTTTCTAAATTTTTCTCCCCCCATTATGCAGAGTACCTTCCTTTCTTCTCCAAAGCATAGTCTTTTGCAAACGTATAGGCCTTTGTGGTGGTGAGGGAGGTTCTGACAAAGATGGGTGCTCAACACATGCACAGGCCTCTGATTAAAAGGAATCTTGATGGGTAATCCATCAAGAAAATACACAGATATAAACATGCATACAGAGAAAAGAACTTTGACAACTAGCTTAGAAAATTATTAGTTATGCCCATTCTACAGTGGTTCCAGGCTTCAGAGAGAGTGAGCTCTTACAATGAAAACAGCTGCACTGACCCCTGGCAGTAGAAAACCACCAGGCAGCAAGGATTGTAAGGAAAGAAATGTAGGAGACCAGGTCTTGGCCAAAAAGTCAGTGCTAAGAGGAGGTTAATCACAAAATAAAACTTCAAATGTGTTCACATGAACATCTAAATTTCTTTGCTGTAATTCAGAGATCCATTAATAAGCAAACATTTTTTTCTTGTTAACATTGGATCATGCATCAAATACAAAATGGTGTCACATACAGGAGAACTTAATCCAACCTCCCAGCATCTCTGTGTTCCTCGACTGCTGCTATGTTATTATTCCACTGTAGGGTCTCTCCATTTGGGGTTGGGCTGCCTTTCATCCCATTTGTTGCAAATTGGAATCATGATTACTACCATCATTAACCTTTGGAGTGAGCATCTCTGCAGTGTGTCTTATATAAGTGGTACTTCACAATTAATTGCCAGGCTCCCAAGTCTACATTCATTGCTTTCTTTTGTTTTTTTCTTCTCCTTTGCCTACACATCCTCTCTTCTTTCATTTCTACCCTTTCCCTCTTTTCCCAACCTCTTTTCTTCTCTTTTTCCTATCCTTATTACCTCACCTCTTATTTATTCACTCCTCCTTTCTCTCCTTTCTTTACCTCTTTTGTCTTTTCCCCTTGTCAATGCTTGTCTCCTTTCTTTCAGCTCTTCCCCTTCCTCCTCTCTTCGTATATTTTTCTCTTCTCTTCCTTATTGCTTTCTGTTTATCTCCTGCCTCACCCAGCCCCATGAGATAAATTTCCATCAGGTCTGAATGTGCCCAAAGCCTATTTTATATACTTCTTTAATAGAAAGGACTTCACAGTTTGCTCAGAAAATATTAATCGACATCTCTGATAAATCAAACAAGAGTGGCCTTTTAATTTTGATTTCCCCCTAGTCAAATGTACAACTTCAATAAATGTGCCCGGAAGCATAGCAAGAGAGATACTAAAGCAGGTCAGCAGCACAGCACGCGTGTTTTCAGGATGGCAGCAATCCGCCCCAGCTTCCATCAGAGAAAGCAAACCAACTGCCCTTGGTTTCCTGAACACCAATTATCTCAAAGCCCTTAAGATCAAAAAGCATTTCCCTGGAAACAGTTGGGATATTCATTTTTAATGAAACCTTTTAAAACTCTCCACATTTTGATTAAAAGGATAAACCAGTCATCAACATCTTAAAATAGTCACACTTGTATGAAAGTGCTTCAACATGGCCAGGCACCCCTGCAAGTGAAGAATACCAGCACACTACCAGTATTTTCCCATGTGATATCCCTTAGAGCATTCCATCTCTTTTCTTTCTTTCTTTTTTATTTCAAAGTATTATGGGGGTACCAGTGTTTTTGGTTACATGGTCCGTCACCCAGATGGTGTTCATTGTACCCGGTAGAGAATATGAGAAAGGGAAGATAGTGAGAGAAAATCTCCCCCCCTCACCCTGTCTCACTGAGTCACCCACACATTTTTATTTCTCTTGCCATATGCTGGGCTGAGTCTCCCAAAGTGGGCAGCTGATAGAGATGGAGAAGAATACAGTGCACTGTTTCTCCACCACTAGTGATCCTCAGAGTCACCTGAAGGGCTTGTTAAGATGCAGATTGCTGAGCCCTCTCCTGAAAGATTATGACTCAGTAGTATGGGACTGAGTCACAGAATTTGCATGTCTTTCAAGTTCCCAGATGATGCTGACACTGCTGGTCTGGGGACCACACTTTGAGAATTGCTAGTATAGTGCACGCATCATACACATCATGCGCTGTGGTGTCACTTGGGTCATATCTTGTTGGGGAAGCTTATTCTGACTCAGATCTGTGTCTCTTTGTCTATAAACTGGGATCATGATGACTACATTGCATTCTTTTAGACATAAATATGATAAACCTGAAGTCCAACAAAAAAGGAGTTGTTCCTGTATGGCCCCAAATGGTCAACTTTGGTTGTGTGTTCCATTAAAGTGGGGCAGTCACGGTTGGCCTACATACCTCCAAGGCAGTGTTTCGGATATTGGACTATATAATTATATATTAGAAAAGATGCAGAAAGATATAAAGTATTATCTATGGATCAGCAGTCTCAAACTTAAATGCATGTTGGAATCAACTGGGGAGCTTTAAAAGTTAAAAATAGTGGGTACTATGCTTGGCGATTCCGATGTAATTGCTCTGGAAAAAAAGCTTAAGCATTAGGACTTATAAAGCTCTTCAGGTAATTTTAATGTGCAGCCAAGATTGAGAAACATTGAAGTACATGTATAAGGTCTGTAAGATGCTTCTACCACAAAAAGAATCTACCTAATTGTAAAGAGTCCTCTAATGTCAAACACCGATGACTAGACTGGCTACATTGGAACCTCATGAGGTCCCTGGTGGGTGGAGTGTGTGTGTGTGTGTGTGTGTGTGTGTGTGTGTGTGTGTCTAGGGTTTGTGGGTATAACAGGTCTCACCTCTGATCATTTCGATTCAGGTAAGTCTGGGGTGATGCTCAGGAATCCTTTAAAATAATTCCCAACTCCGTAATTCTTAAGAAATTTCATGTTATAACAGACAGTGAACAGAAAGCCACATTTGAGAACCACTGACCTAGAAGGTCATACAAGTGTCTGTATACATGGTTCATAATCTTGCTTTGCTGCTGTCTTTCAAAATCAAGTATAACTTCAGTTCAATTTTAAGCGGTTGTAAATGGTTTACTGGGGCATTAAGTTTTAATATATGGTGATGCCTCTCTGGCATTTCCTTTCATTAATTAATAATTTACAGCCTATTCTTCCCATTTTTAAGGTACAGGATGAGAGATAGGTAGTTGCAAGTAGTTAGACCTCTAGGCTTCAGACACCTGGCTCCTTCCTCTTTCAAATCTTTCCCTATTTCTTTTTTTTTTTTCACTGCTTTGAATTATAATAAGTCAATAGATCTATTAGAATCAGATATATCTGTAAGGCATCACTTTAATACTTGTTAATGTCCTTTTTACCTAAAAATGTTGTTACTACCCTCCGTACCTAAAAAATAAAGATATTTGTATTAGTTTTCAATTGCCTTGTAACAATTTGCCACATACTTAGTGGCTTAAAAAAATCCATTCATTATTTCACAGTTTCAAGGGTCAGGGGTGCAGAAACAACTTAGCTGGGACCTGGGATTGGAGTCTCACAAGGCCACAACCAAGGTATTGGTTGGGCTGCATTTCTTTCTGGATCCCAGGGTCCTCTTCTAAGCTCGCATGGTTGTTGGCAAGGAATTCAATTCCTTGTGATTGAACAAGTGAGATCCCCCCTGCTGACTGCCAACCTGGGGCCACTCAGCTCCGAGAAGCTGCCTGTGGTTCCTTTCCGTGCGGGCCTCTTGCAGGCTCTCCCATCATATAGCAGCTCCCTTTTCCAAAGCCAGCAAGGGAGATGTTTTCTAGTCTGCTAAGGCACGGTCTTACAGAACACAGCATCCTCATGGGCGTGACA